CTGTGTTTTAGACGCATGCAGACATGGATAAAATACCACTATCGTTTTCCAATTAATAGTTCATAACCATTTAATTAGAGAACTGATATGTAGCTATTTTACAATAATAGAATATCATATAACATGTTTTGGTAACACTTTATTTGAAGGGGGTGAATAAGACTGTCATGACACTGTCATAAACATGACATGTCATGAACATGAATAAGCCTTCATGAATATTTATGACTGTTGTCATAAAGCGTCATTTGGTAAATTATGACACTTTTAATACAAAGTTGACATTATTCAAAATGTCTTTGTTATGACAACTTGACATTAACCAAGAAATCATTACTGTTTAAACTTTACCTTTAGTAACATAAAGATACCTAATTTTTAAAGTGCAATCAGTAATACTTTTATAACAAATTGATATCAGCAATGATTTATTGGTTAATGTCAAGTTGTCATAACAAAGACATTTTGAATAATGTCAACTTTGTATTAAAAGTGTCATAATTTACCGAATGACGCTTTATGACAACAGTCATAAATATTCATGAAGGCTTATTCATGTTCATGACAGGTGTTATGTCATGTTTATGACAGTGTCATGACAGTCTTATTCACCCCCTTCAAATAAAGTGTTACCCATGTTTTATTATCTCACAATGGAAGGGAAGCACATAGATTCACTCAAAGATAAACCATTAAAACAAATCAAGGCAACATGCTGTACAATATTGACAGTTCTAACTGTAATGTGCAGCTGAGTATCTTCTGAAAATGCGCATGTTGTGTTTGAATAATAAAAATACAGCAGACTTAGTGTTTCAAATGTCTTCCATGACTGTATGTAGGCTAACTTAAATATAGCAAAAACCAAACGGATATATCTCCAAACTGCTCACCTGGCTGGAGAGCAGCAGCGGCGTCAGCTGCGTCTGAGTCGGGGTTCACCGTGGGGCTCCAAGCGGCTAACGAGACTTTCCATTCTCTCCACTACGGTGACAAAAACCACTCATTCTTCACGGCTCCATCGAGCTGCTGCTGAATATTGAAATCTGATGCAAAGAAAAGCAGACATTTTTGTTCACCGCTTGTTTGTATCTTCCATCACTTCCGTGTTGCAGCGAGTTTGAAACTTGCGCCTTCGTTTTTCTTCTGTCTTTGCTGCTCCGTCCCTCTCGCCCTCAGCCAATCAGTCAACAGGAGCGAAGCTTGCGTCAGCCACCAAACCAGGGCCGGTGGAAAAGCTCTGAAAGCGAGCTGAGCCGGTGGAAAGGGCATTAGTTATTCACTTAAAATTTCACACAGTACTGCTCACAGTAAGTTGTCAACAATATA